GTCACACCGCTCCCGGTATGTGTGCTACAGCAGACAGGATGGAGCCGTGAATCGGGGCCTCCCCATCATGATTCACCAGTGTGTTCTGTCTGGCCACGGGCCTCCCCGCAGCCAGGAGCCTACGCTTTTCCGAAAGCGGACTCAACTCCCCGGGAGATGGGAGAAGGTCAACCCACGATCCCACATCACGCATCATATTCTGAAAAGTGCACTGTGAATAAAGGTTAAAAATGAAGTGCTCTTGTTGAAGCCCAAGAACCCCGACCAGCAGCCCACCTCACACTGAGCTTTCCGGCTCGTGTTCGGTGCCGGCAGATAACAACGGTGTGATGAGTCCAGTCTCACCTGCTCAAGGTGTAAAATGAACAACGGATAGCATAGGCCCCCTTTAAGATGAAAATGGTGGCTGTGGTTCTAAAACAGGGGTTCTCTAGCCGCCAGCAAGAGTTCCACCAGGTCAACGAAGCTGGGTTTTTTTTTTGTTAATTCCCGAAACAAAACTTTATATACATTTTTACAACCCCTTACATGACTGCATTCTAATCACGTCTAATAATAGGAAATGGTTGAACTTGTGAAACTGACAAATGATCTGCCGGCTCACCTCACTAAATACATATGTATGAAAATTTGCAACCTCCGTGTGGAAGTAATATTACAAGTACATAACGTGTACAACTGTGAAGTAAATTCTGATCCTGATACTATATGTATAAATGTGAAGTGAATTCTGATCCGATATTCCCCTGTTGTAAGCTTTCCCCCAGGCAGGTGAACATTGTGTGTGTGTACACAAGGTATAGATTAATATTTAAGGAATTCACAAGCCATTCTCCAGAATGAGAGGACCGAATCAGAAACTTTCAGGGACTTTTAGAAACCTGCTAATGATGCAAGAAAAATAAGGTTATGAAATAGAAATAAGCTATATATGTAATATAATGCCTTTCGGAAAATGTGGAAAAGGGGAGGACTTTACCCAGCTAACAAGTTATTTTAATATGTCGTTTACCATGCATCTAATGCAAAACAAATTGTGTGTTTTTTTTTTTTTATGAAACTCTCTGATGCTGTGTTCCAGTTTATATTCTGATTTCTCTGGAAATGATACTCGCTACCTGTGTGTATCTTGAAAGTTCACTTGCATCTTGCATCCTTCAGATGCACGTCTGATAGTGCTGTTGCCTGCTGCTTAAAGCTTAAAGGAGAGTCACAGCAATGCTGTTGCTTTTGACGCCTCCAATATCGGTGAAGGCATCTTAAATGTTACCAAAAATGAAAATGCTCCCCCCCCATATGCTGCTGTAAATGTCAGCTGACTTTAAAGAAACGGAGGTTTCATGAGGGTCTCAATGCTATGACTCATACATCCTGTTAAAACTGTTGAACTGTTGTGAGAGCAAAGCCTAAATGCCAGTACCTATCAAATTGAATAATGTTTGATCATTTATATATGCTGTAGCTCAAGCCAGAACAGCTGTAATTGCTTAAATGTTCTTAAACCAACTTAAATAAGCTCACCCAAGCTTGAACAGTGCGCATTGCTTTGTGGTGCTGAAACATTCAGGTGCCTAGCGTGGTCTCAAACACAAACACACAAATACACACATTGCCGCTACTCATCTGTCTCATCAAACAATTCCTGTTATTTGAGCTGGTTTCAGGTCACTTTGCAAACCACAAAACGTACATACACCTAAGTTCCTCAGTTCATGTTTTCTCTGGCCAACCTTCTATCAGGGTTGCCAACTCTCATGCATCTGACATGACACTCACGCTTTCAGACTCTCTCGCTCAAGCAATGAAGTCTTACAGCAAATCGATTTTACAGCAAATTTATTCCATTATAAACCTAAAATTAGCTACATCATTATCGGTGGGCTAGTTTACAAACCCTACAAACTATTGACTAGGTAATTAACCTGTTACAAACATGCAAATACCTGTGCATGTGTGAGCAGACTTGTCCCAAATTGAACATCTCACTGCAGCCAGCTGATGGAAGTTACTTCACCTCATGTCCGATCTGTCAGAAAACTATTTGTGTGAGCAGGTCCACCAGAGCATCTCTACACCTTTCTGCCTGCCTTCTTCCAACCTGTCTGGTACAATGGGATGGATATCGTTGGTCTTTTCGAGAGAAGTAGTACCGCCTGCAAATGCATCCCAGTACTCCGCAAGTATGCCACGTGGTTCCCAACAGTAGGTCTCACAATGGCCCATTGCCACACTGAAGATAATCAGCACGTTGCTGCAGATATTCTCCCTGGTCAGCATCCCTGAAGAGATTTTGACTGACCAAAGCACTAATTTTACCTTATGACTGATGAGACCACTACACCACCAGCAAGGGATTGAGGGGATCCAGACGAATCCCTACCACTCCCAAACTGAGGGGTCGGTAGGGAGTTTAATCAAATCCTCAAGAATATGTTGAGTAAGTCTGTAAGTGACAAGTAAAGCTTGGGATAAATGCTATTTGCCTATAGAGAGATGCCTCAGGCATCCACTGGTTTCTCCCGCTTTGAACTGGTCTATGGCTGGTCTGTCCAAGGTCCACTGGACCTGGAAGTTGAGTGGCCCCAAAGGCATCCAACAAGGGTATAACAAGTATGTGTGGCCGATGAGATGACCGGTTGGAGAAATACCTGAAGAAAACCTAGCGAAACCTGCTATAGAAACAGCAGGCCCAGAAGCACTGGTATGACCCAAATCCCAGGAAGTGGGTTTACCAGCCTGGCCAGTCGGTCCTACTCCTGCCATTGGCAAGCAGCAGGGACCCTACACCATTCTGAGGGAAATGGGCCCTGTGACCTATGCAGGACGTCACCCTAACAAGGGTAGAGATTAGCAGATTTACCTTGTACACCTGATGAAGGAATAGAGGGGAGACATAGCAACACCTATTATGTACAGGTAATATGAGCTGGTTTTAGATAAAATTGATCTCTGTGAATTACTGTGAATTCAGGTGTTCCAATCACTTCTGTAGCCACAGGTATATAAAATCAAGCACCTAGGCATGCAGACTGCTTCTACAAACATTTGCGAAAGAATGGGTCGCTCTCAGGAGCTCAGTGTGGTACCGTGATAGGATGCCACCTGTGCAATGAGTCCATTCATGAAATTTCCTCGCTGCTAAATATTCCATGGTCAACTGTTAGTGGTATTATAACAAAGTGAAGCAATTGGGAACAGCAGCAACAAAGCCAGGAAGTGGTAGGCCACGTAAAATCACAGAGCAGGGACAACGTATGCTGAGGCGCACAGTGTGCAGAAGTTGGCAACTGTCTGTAGAGTCTATAGCTACAGACCTCCAAACTTTGTGTGGCCTTCAGATTAACTAAAGAACTGCGTAGAGAATGCAATGCAAAGTGTTGGATGCAGTGGTGTAAAGCACACCCTCACTGGACTCTAGAACAGTAGAGACCTGTTCTCCAACACCAGTGCCTGACCTCACAAATGCTCTCCTGGAAGGATGGGCAAAAATTCCCATAAACCTCGTGGACAGCCTACCCAGAAGAGCTGAAGCTGTTACAGCTGGAAAGGGTGGGCCAGCTCCATATTAAAGCCTATGTATTAAGAATGGGATGTCATTAAAGTTCATGTGTGTGTAAAGGCAAGTGTCCCAATACTTTTGGCAATATAGTGTTATATATGGAGAGCCTTCATATACATATATATATATAGAGAGAGAAAATCTTACTGGTTTGGGTCATCATTATACGAGTAAAAATCGTCACACATACATATAAAGTAGTGGCCAAAATTATTAGAACACTTGCCATATTTAAGACGTTTCAGTTTTTTTTGTTGAATTGGCCATTAAAATACCCATAAAACTAATGAAATCTCTACAAAATCATCATCGTGCTCTATAAGCCATCAGAAGGAGATTTAGGTTATGTTCCTTACAAAAAACAAGCTTGGCCTATTTCACTGTCAATGTCACACAATCATGTTCCTTCACAGAAGAAGCCAAATTACTTGTGTAATCACTGTCAGGTGTGATCATGGTTAACCTGATTGTGAAGCAAGAGTCTTAGGGCACAGCTGTTTGATAATTTGAATGTACAAGGTCTATCCTGCTCATTAAGTGATTGGAAACATCAGGGTTTTGTCATTGAGGCCACACCACCAATTGGTATAAATTCAAAGCCTCTAGAAGTAGTCCTGAAGCACATACTGTATTGCTCTTCTTTGAACATGGCTAAAGTGAAGAAAGAGCTAACGTGTGAGCAACAGGTTCGAATAAAGGCCATTTTGGATGCTGGCTGGAGTTACCGCCGCATAGCCAAGGACCTGAGATGCGGTCCAAGGACTGTAAAATACACTTTAGACCACCATGATGCCACCAATTCATGTCAGAACTGAAAGGGGTTAGGTAGGAAAAAGAAACTTTCAGACAGACAAGTGAAGCATCTCAAAATTCTCAGTCATAAGGACTGTAGAAAGACTGTGTGATGAGATCAACACCACAGTGACTAATGGTGAAACAGTGTCTTCAAGAACTATGCATCAGAGACTGGAAGAAGGACTTGCTGCCAGAATAGCAGCAAATAAACCATTACTGAGAGAGAAAAATAGAGCGAAACGCCTGAAATTTGCAAAAGAATACAAGAAATGGACAAAGGAAGATTGGTATAAAGTGTTTTGGACTGATGAGACCAAGTTTGAAGTTTGGTAAGACGCGAAGAGCAGGACTGGATGGAGGGAGGGGGAGAGCTATAAAAAGGAGTGTCTCTTGCCAACAGTGAAATACGGAGGGGGTAGTATTATGGTGTGGGGTGCCATTTCAGTCTCAGGAACAGGTGACAGAGAAAATTGATGGCATGATGGATAAGAAAGTATACCGCAACATTCTGGTGAGGCACAGAGTACCATCTGAGAGTCGTCTTATTGGGACCGGGCCAGCGGTAAAACACACCTTCATCCAGGGATTTCCATTCAAAACACGGTCAAGAGGACAATGATCCTAAACATTCCACTAACTATTGCAGGAACTACCTGCAACTGAAGGAATGGACTGGCCCCATTAAGTCTGGACCTCAACCCCATCAAGCACATTTGGGGCGGATTGGAAAATAAACTGGACAGATGTATTGTAGATTGAAAGGAAACTCTTTGGCAGAAGGCATGGGATAACATTAGTGCTGAAGTTCTCAGGAAATGTATTGACACTATGCCAGATCGATGTGATGCTATTATTGCTGCAAAAGGTGGACATACCAAATATTAAAGTTAAAAGTGGATAAAAACTCCTCCTCCCTCACTTCATCTGATATTTGGTGTACTCAGCGCAACCGTCTGCATATTTCATGGACATTATGAAATGAAATCATGTTTTGGAGCTACAGTTCATTGAGGGAAACATGAATGTCAACATGTACTGTGATATACTGAAGCAGAGCATCATCCCCTCCCTTTGGAAACTGGGCCGCAGGGCAGTATTCCAACATGATAGCGACCCCAAACACACCTGCAAGACGACCACTGCCGTGCTAAAGAAACTGAGGGTAAAGGTGCTGGACTGGCCAAGCATGTCTCCGGACCTAAACCCTATTGGGCATCTGTGGGGCCTCAAACGGAAGGTGGAGGAGCGCAAGGTCTCTAACATCCACCAGCTTCGTGATGTCGTCATGGAGGAGTTGAAGAGGATTCCAGTGGCAACCTCTGAATCTCTAGTGAAGTCCAAGCCCAAGACAGTTAAGGCAGTGCTGGAAAATAATGGTGGCCACACAAAGTATTGACACTTTGGGCACAATTTTCACTTAGGGGTCTACTCACTTTTGTTACCAGCATTTTAGACATCAATGGTTGTGTGTTTAGTTATTTTGAGGGGACAGCAAATTTACACGCTGTACACTGACTACTTTACATTGTATCAAAGTGCGATGTCTTCAGTGTTGTCCCATGAAAAGATATAATAAAATATTTACAAATATGTAAGGGGTGTACTCATTTTTGTGAGATACTGTATACACACACACACACACACACACACACACACACACAGGACATCTTACTGGTTTGGGTCATCATTATAGATATAATCTTCACACATATGTGGCTGTTGTGTGCTGGAGTCACTCTTCCCCCTTAAAAACATTAGAACCTGAAGTTACTTCATTGGAGTGGCCTCATATTCATCTGAGATACAGATGAGTAGCTGTAAGTTTAGAATCCAGTGAGATTTCTATCACTTGCAATCAAAAACTAAAAACAGTAGGTGAAACTGAAAACATTTTGACCTACTTACACAAACCTCCTACAAAACACCATCCATTCAGATGATGCAGAATCTATATAAATTCATCGCCCTCGGTCACTATTTCTTTGTTGATAAGTTTCTCTTTATATGTATTCTTCTTAAAGTACTCTAATTATTTTTACAGAAATTAATATGTGTAAACAAGAGAAAAAACAACAGCTTGAGTATTATTGTATATTGCAGTCTTCAGTCTTCAGTCTTGGTGATTCATCAGTCTGTAAGGGACACCTTCAGAAAATGGGGGCTTACAAGCCATTGTCAAGAAGTACCACCTTCTCATTCCCACTTCTCTGAATGTCACTGAACATCAGTCAACCGCTACCAGGTTTCAGTTTCTTGTACCATGCTGATGTGCCGCACGGACATGAAAGTGACTGCCTCAGTCTGCATGTGTGCATGCGGCACTCGCATTGATGTGGCCAAATGACTCACCTGCGACATTGTCCTGCGGCTTCGCCAGCCCAGGATCTTCCTGACATCTGCTCCTGGACTGCAGTGCAAAGCAGGCCGTTTTTCAGAATTGCAATTTGACAAATCGGAAGAGCAGAGCAAACAGCCAAGACAGCTGCTTCAGCTTTGACAGAGTGTAGCAATACAGAAAGCAAGGGGTGAATGTTCACTCTCACCCAAAAAGAAGAACCACAGTTTTATATCATTATTCCGTTGGTGAGAGGACCGGCATGTCAGCTAACTTCAATCTTACCCCCTTCATAAATAAAACAATCCAGATTTGTCTATGCATCTTCAAATTTCTTCTCCAATAGCCAATCCCAGGTAGCAGCAGAACACCATGGATGGCTTTGGGCTGTAGGAGGAAGCCCACAGAGACTCAGGAGGTGTTCTGACACTGTGTTACTGAGTGAAAGGGTGGCAGAGAACTTGCACACTAAGCTGAACTCTGCCTTTCCTCGTGGTAATTATTCCTGTGAACAGGTACCATGTGAAACACTTTTCCAATAAAGGAAAATCACAAAAGACAAGTATCACATGGTACTTCACTTTATTAGGAATATATAATATTTACTGTAATACATCTATAATTGTGTTTCTATTAATCATTTTTTCTGCGGTCTTGTGCCCCATTCACAATTTTCCCCCACCTTGTGTCATGTGCTGCCTCTCCTCACTCCTTCACCAGGTTAGCGAAGGGATGGATGGATGGATGGATGGACGGACAGACAGACAGACTGTGGTTTCACAGTTCCTATGCATGCATGCTGCTCCAAGCATTGGAGAGGTGGGCATGGACGTGTGCCTTGGGAGGGGGGGGGGGAGGCAGCATGGGAGGAATGTTAATGAAAGACCATTTGGACATAGACACAGAGAGAAATGCTTGAGGAAAATAAATATACGGGTCAAGCAAGGGGCTGGGTAAAGGGCAGCCCACACATCCACTTTCAACTGACTGATATAACATTGTAGATTTACAGAAACCAGTCTGCCACAGGCAGGGACGGATTATGGGTTGTGTGGGCCCCTGGGCAAAACGTTCACGAGGGCCCCCCCCCCACCACCACCACCACCACCACCAGCACCACCACCNCTCCCTCCATGTTTCCATCAGAGGCCCTATAGGGTCAGGGGCCCTTGTAGGCAGAGGATCAAAGAATGTAGGCCCTCTAAAATAGACAAACGAAAATACATTGTTGATAAGCGTTGCAAATTGTTTTGGGCTAGGGGCCCCACGGGCCCCCTGCACCCCGAGGGCCCCTGGGCAGCAGCCCCGCTGGCCCGGTCCGTAATCCGTCCCTGGCCACAGGCGCTGCAGCCAGATGCTGAACTGGGAGAGGCCCCAAAGCGTTCCATAAAGAGCGATGAGTGAATCCCCTCCTCCCAGTCCGACTCAAAGCTAACTCACACTGTCCTCGTCCAAGTTTTCATTTCAGTAGTGTTTTAATTGCAAATCAAGATTGGGGAAAGACTAACTGGGAAGCACTTAAATACACAAACTCAATTAAACAAGACTAGATACAGCTGAGGAACAGGAGGATTCCACAGGAGGTTAACGAGGGGGCGTGGCACACAGGAGGAGCGGCACGATCGGCACGTAACAAGTATATAGAGCAAATAAAAATAAAATGGTGATACTACAATTAGGTATGTCACTATCACCAGTTCTACGCCATAGGGGCTTTGGCAGGCAGCCTCGTTTTCAATTTGGTCGCCATTCCCCAGAGCACAAGGGTATCCCAATAGTTTTTACTTTTTGTTGAGTTATTTTTGTGTCTATTAGGGTAACCCGTTCTGATAACGTAAAACACACCTTCATCCAGGGATTTCCATTCAAAACACGGTCATCTGACTTTCTGATAACTTCGAAATTTCCTCCCGATCTTACTGAAAATTTCACTCATTAAAACCTTCGTTGGGACAATAAAGGTAAGCAGAATTATTCTTCAAACTATGATAATTATATTTCTTAGTTAGTTTATTGTATTTAGGCGTATTTTGAGCAAAATTTATCGATCAGCAGTTCACTTTTTTGGATCTGCCGCGAGAGCCGGCCATGTTGTTTTGTGGTGTATTATTCACTACAGTACATACATTCTCCGGTGAGTATTAATTGACAGACAAATAAATTAAATAATTATTTGTTTTATTTTCATTGTATCTGAGACTGTTAGGCAAGGAATAAGCTTTCTAATGATACCTAGTTTATTAAAATCTGATAAACAATAACAGAGTTATGCTCATTTTTCTGAACACCATAAACAGGTCACAAAGTCAAGTATGGTTCTCTACTGTTTTATCTGTTAATAAGCGGACGTTAATAAGCCTTAATTGGCGTTACAAAATATCCTATAACTTTCTTGCCATTCATCACAGAAAGAACTTCTTGGTATCATTGGAAAGGTCTTATCAAGCCCTTTCTTCTGGTCCTATTTTTGTAAAAATCCAACAACTTTGAAATTTTTTGTGACATACCTACTACAATCTGGGGAGGTGGGTCAATGCACCCAGTCGGCGAAAATCATAATTACAATTAGTTAATTTTGTATTTTATTTTTTCTCGCCATTTCTAATTAATGCAGTATTTTGATGCATTCCTGCAGTGTTATATTTATGAAGAACACCACTTTCTCTCATCGCAGACAAGCAGTTGCTGCATGGAGGGAATAATCGATTCTCGAGCCATAGATGTCAACCAATTAGGTGTCCCGGCGCCTAGTTACATCGCACTTCAGGAGCTGTCTCTTAAGCAACATCTTAAAGGATCGTTCGGAGAACAGACGTAGAACAGTCCACAACTTGAGTAAGCTATTCCATTCAAGTCTCCCTAACATGTCAGGAGACACCGTTATCGAAACTCACCCCCCGGTGCTATTGAGGCGGAAGGATGACGCAGTGGGTAGCGAATGTAAAAACCTCACACCTCCAGGGTCAAACCCCATCCTAGTTGTCACATGGTGGGAATAATCAATTCTTGAGCCATCGATATCAGGTGTTTCGGCACCTATTAAGGTCGCTCTTAAAAAGCTCTCTCTTAAGAGATTATTCAGGAAACATACGTAGGAAAACAAATACTTTAAGATACAACCGGATTCCTCGTAAGATGCTAAGAGTCACCGTCATCGGGAAAACTTGGTGTCTGATTTGGTAAATTTTGCCGAGCGGAGGAGGGGTTCCCGTAATAACTATTACCAAGTTATAAACTGTGTCCGCACACATGTCTATCGGTCTGCCAGGAAAATATCCAGTACCTTAGATGGCCAGTCCTGCTTTGGTTTTAAATATTTACACAATAAGTTGGCTAATAAATCAGCAGCAATGCATAATGAAGTGGAATGAATAAAGTTACTAATAATAAACAAAACAAAACGGATCACGTCTGCGGGCCGAAACGGCAACAGTCTGTTATGCAAAAGCATTTCATCATTTTCTTAAAAAAGCAACAAAAAAGGGTTCCTGGTAAAATTGCTGGCAAGCACTAGGCAAGTTACAAATTCTCTTAATTCCTGGAGTGAATTTATATTCCTTTTCTAATGATTTTTAAACATGTCTGAACAGTCTGATTACTGGAAAGTGAAATGCGCTGAGTTATTCTGAGAATAAGAACAACTGGAAAGAAAAAGTTTGTGGGCTAACCAGTTCACTGTACTGTATATATTTCAAGTATGGGTGTTAAAACAGGTGGCATTCGTTAATAATGATTACCGTCATGGAAAACGGCACCCTTGATAAAGGTTTCTTTTCAAGAATGACCTTGTCATTCAAATATTTAATCCCTCAGAACCATCAGCCAAGAACAATAACAACGACGGAGATCTTGCCTCAGTTTTTCAACAGTTTTTCTGAATCACGCTGGTGAGTCATTCGAAAATACATGAAATACGTACTGTTCTTAGCAGACTGTTGTCCCACTAAACTTTTTCTTATTTAATATTTATTGTTTAAGAGTGTAAATCTGACTTATTTAAAATACATGGCAATCCCAGGAAACCCAATTGCAGGAGCGATTGCAGAATTTGACCTTTAGCCTCAGCCCCAGTATGAACCTGGGTGGGGGTTCCAACGCTTCATCTCGGGGACGGCCTGGGACGGGGACACATCTAGCAGGGACGGTAACCGCGTCTACCTTACCTGCTTCCCAGTCGGCCAGGCTCGTCGACAAGTGCATCTGCACTTTACATAAAAGACGGCAGACACACTCTTGCGGATTGGGAGGTGGACACTAGCTGATTTCACTCCCTGGGATCAGCACATAGGCTTACATAGCCATTTTCCGTACCCTCTCCATACAATCTCTTTTTCCCACAGTCCCCTCGCGCCGCGCCCACGCGTCACGTGGCCAGCAACGTCGTCGTGCTCGTTAGAACATGTACAAAAATACTAGACAGACCTCTAAATGGATTTAGAAAAATATATTTTTTCATGGGGGGGGGGCGAGATGTAGAGTGGTTGAAGCCCCCTTAAATAGAGTGTAAATCGCCTATGCCCAGTTTTACAAAAAATATCAGTGGCAAGATAATTTGTAGGCCTAAAATTACTTATGATACAAGAACTACTTAATGCAGAAGGAAAGGGCAGTGGGTGTTGTTCATGCAGTCAGCATAGGATCACGGAGTGTCTAGAGCCTCCAGGAGCAGGAGCTGATCAAGTGGCCGGGGATTAATATTAAATAGGGGGCCACCCTTGTTGCCACCCTAGAATAACGCTGTCCGATCGATCCGCTGACATTGTCACCACCACCCCCCTCGCCCCTGGTCGTAAGTATTTTCGTTAACACCCCGCTGATTAGCGGTTCACTGGCTACATCGTTTTTAATCCTTTCTCGTTTTTCTTTCGGCTATGCGGCCAAAAAAAAAAAATCCACCTCAATCAAAATTTTGTGCTATTTTTGATTTTATTTAACACCTCCAAACAAAAAGGAATCATGGTTCTCAGCAGATGTGGATCCTAGTTCCAAGTCTTTTTAACCGATGGGGTATAGTAGGTACACAAAAGGAGGGAAATAAAAAAGGATTCGAAAGAGTGCTTTATTTATGTTATGTTTGTGAAGTATTTCTATCACGTTTATGACAATTTATGATTTGTCTTTTGTTCTCATGAACGTTAAGTAAATACTTTAAAATATTTTGGTTTGGTTTTTATTACAGTGAAATGATTCTTTTTCTAAGTTTCTAATTATTTAACGATGTTTGTAGCCGGTGTTTTATATGAGGTGCATTCTGTAGCTTGAAAGATCGTACGAGATAAAACGCATTCCAGATATTCACATTTTGGTTTTATATGTCTCATTACAGTCGACAGTAGCCGGAAACCGCGACGTGCCTCATCAAAGGCTGATCGCCTTACATGCATTCTTCCTCCATTAAGTCTTCCTCAGACAGATCAATCACTGTAAAAGTTTCCAGGCTGACGGCTTATAACCAACAAGGGGAAAGACCGAAATAGGCGTTAAAGACATGGTACGTGTGAAAAGAAAGTAGCCGGTATTGTGCGCTGAAATGATACAGATAACATATACATGTGATGAATCTGAAGTTGATCACAGAACGCGAAGACTTCAAGACGCGTGTCAGGGAACAAGACTAGTGCAGAGCATGGTGAACTGGGGCAGTAAGACTCTCTGGGTCATGGCCGGGATGCTGTCCTTTGTGCTCATTACGTTCACGATAACGTTCTCAATACAGGTAAGTCACATTTAAGACCATTATAAAATGTTTCATCTATTCAAATAATGTTTGTCTCTGCATTAATTAATTTCCAGAGTTCAACAGATTTCGTTCGACGCGGCGTGCCGCGATCCTGTTTCTCATTCATAAAACAAATTGCCGTAAAGTATAATGCAAATTAATTGACGTTTAATACTGAGAATCGGCTAGAACAACACGACTAGGGCGATTATTAAAATAAGTTTATTGTATGATGCAGGTTCAATTTAAAATAAAAAGCAGGAAAATCCGATTAGACCGCCTAGTGTTTAATTGTTCATGTCCACCTTATAAATTGTTCCATTTAACACTGAATCCATTTTGTCTCTTTAGCCTAATTCCATTGTGTCAATGTACAGTATGACCGTACTTATCAGTTAATTACTCTATAAACAAAAATGAAATGTGAAATCCGTAAAACTTTTTTTTTTCCGGTGTGACACCTCAACTTTTTCACACGCGTTTTACTCATTTTAAAATAACCCTGCCGATGGCGACATTTAAATCCATCATAACCTTCTGAATTAGAAGATCTGCAGTTGCACATTAATAGTACTTTCTTATTGCATAATTCAGTTGTGAGTTTCCATTTAATGTGTTAAACTGTTCCCTAGCGCTTCATATAAAGTATAGGCAATTTCGCCCATAGGTAAACTGCGTTGTAGAACCGGTTGTTACTGAATTTTTACATCTTTAATTTATATTATAATTTATGTTATAGTTGTAGTTTAATAATCAAAGTCAATCTGAGTGTCCTTGCCTTATCTATAGAATCGATGACACGGTTTGTCAATAGGTTCTTGCATTATCCAGACTGGGCTCGTAGCAAAGGCGACCCTATTAGACCATATTGGGGGCTTCAGTGATCTTAATTTTGCCTGAGTCTGCTGAAGGATTATTTTTCTAAAACCATTTAGCGATTTGTCCCGAATTTGTCTACACTTTTCATCCAAATTTTACAGATCCTCCTCCCGGCTCGGCAAATTTTATTGTGGGCTGAGCCCCCCTAAGGGTCAAATCCTAGAGTCGCCCCTGGCTATACGTTTTCTACATGAGCCAACTCTTAATTGCCCTGATAAAACGATTAGCGGGAAAGCAAGTGACCTCATCTCAGTTCTGGTTTTATATAGTCAAAATCCGCATGGCGCATATATACCCCGATTAAATCAGCACTGTCTGTTTCTTGCATCTGTAGTAAAATCATCTTTCAGTTTTCGAGCGCACCCAAAGGACGATTTACAGGTAACTCGTTTTAGAAATTATAATAAAATTATTCTTATAATAAAAGTATATTATTAGTTTCATGCTTTGTGTTATAATTCAACTATTACTACTTTACTATTATATTATATTATATCCAGAATTTACACTTACCCTTTCACTCACTGTAGAAAGCCTAGGTTTTTATTTCGTGCGCTGCTTCTGAATAAAACGGGGGATCAGTAAGTATCTGAATCCTCAGTTTTTGTTATATAACAAATAAGTAAAGTTTATTTATTAAGCGCCTTCCAAAGACAAATAAGTCACAAAGCGCTGTACAAAACTAAGATGCAGAGAAACATACAAAACCAAACAACAACGCGAAGATACACAAGTGAAAGTAGACAACAATACATGACAAAACACGATTTCACAATATCACATTTCCCCGAAAGCTTGAGGAAAAAGGGCAAGTGTTAAGACGCCCTTTAAGACTTTTAACTGAGTCTGCAAAACGCATAGACGGAGGAAGATCATTCCACAGCATTGGACTGCTCAAATCTAACACGTGTTCTAATTATTGTTGATGCATTTTCCATGACAGTGGTGAGCTTTTAAAATTAGGCCTAAGACTAAATTAAAGTTAAAAAAATGTTCGTCATCCATGCTCCAACAAATCCGTATTTGCTTAAGCTTACGTTTAAATGTGAAAATAATGAATTGCCAAAATAATAAACTTGTACAGTGATCCCCCGCTATATCGCGGTTCAGCTATCGCGCCCCGGCTATTTCGCGGATTTTTCCCCGACGCGTCACAGTTCTCTGTGTATCCAGTACCTTGCTTGCGGTCCGATTGTTTTCGTTTTGTTTTAAGCCCTACAATGGCTCCCAAGCTGCATCTTCTAGCCTTCTGATAGTAGTGAGCCTAAGGCCTGGATATGCTTCGGGAAGGAAAGCGTTACATTACATATTATTATTATTATTATTATTATTATTATTATTATTATTATTATTATTATTGTTGTTGTTGTTACTCATATCCTTAGCCTAACATCCACATATGATATGTGTTGTTTTAATAAGTTTACATGTGTTTAAAGCGCGTGGGAGGAGTACTTTAAGGCTTAAACTATAAAAAAAAAATTATGGTCTTTCTATATCGCGGATTTTCACCTATCGATTATGGGTCTGGAACGCATCTTCCGCGATAGAAGATAAATTTATGATAAATTTCCGTTATTTGATTCATAACTGACGTTGCAACTCTCTATCCATCCATTTTCTGAAACCGGTTATCCCGGTCAGGGTCGCGGGGGGTCCGAAGCCAGTCCCGCTTTCTACGGGCGCAAGGCATGGAACAATTCAGGATGGCCCGCCAATCCATCACAGGGCGCACGCAAACAGGCGCACCTAGGGGCAATTAGGTAACTCAGCCTCAGTATGTTTTGGGGGTGGGTGGGGAAACCAGAGTAACCGGAGGAAGCCCCACGACGACGCAGGGAGAACATCTACACACACAGAACCCTGGCGGAAACGCGAACGCAGGTCCCAGAGGTGTGAGGCGACAGTACTAACTACTCCACCACCCGTGCTGCAACTATTATTCATATTTGTTTTGACGCCAGGAAGGAAAATATTCGCAGATTATTTAAAATATTTATTATTCATGTAGTAATGGAATTCTGCGATATATTCTGCATGTAAAATAGACCTAAATTTTACATTAAGATTTTTTGACACTGCAAAATGTAATCGAATATGGTCACTATCGATTCTATTAAGCTCAGCGACAAAGAAAATCTGGCACGTGCAGGGGCCTCAGGGTGCCTAAACACTTAGCCACCCCCCCCCCGTCACAGCACAGCCCTCCCAAAGAAGTTTAAATGCATAAGGGAAACAGTGAAACAAGCAAACCTGTCAAACCGAGATCTAGGTTGGGGTTTGACCCTGGAGGTGTGAGGTTCTTGCATTCGCTACCCACTGCGTCATCCTTCCGCCTCAATAGCACAGGGCTGATGAGTTCTCCGATAACGGTGTCTCCTAACGTGTTAGGGAGACTTAAATGGAATAGCTTACTCAAGTTGTGCACTATTCTCCGAACGATCCCTTAAGATGTTGCTTAAGAGACAGCTCCTCAAGTGCGACGGAACTAGGCGCCGGGACACCAGATTGGTTGACATCTATGTCTCGAGAATCGATTATTCCCCTCCATGTAGCAAGTGCTTGACTGTAGCACGAAAGAAAGTGGAGTTCTTTATAAATATAACACTGCAGGAATGCATCAAAATACTGCATTAATCAGAACCGGGGAGAATCCATTTTTTAAAATTTCTTCTGTAAAACGCCTGCGTGCACTAATAATTGTGTATGTCATTGATATTAGGACAAGAAATGGCACAATAGCAGAAAGAAAAATTGCGTTACTGTTTTTTTTTTTTTTGGGTGGGGAGGGTGGGTTGATTTAAGCCAACGGTGACTTTGGCGTATTAGAGAAGTGTGTGCATTCCAGAGGCGTTAGAAATAGAGGAAACACGTACATTCCAATATCGGCAGAACCCCTCTTCCTTCTCAATAAAAAATGCATAATAAAAAAACGCCTTAATTATCTTTTATTATGAATCCGCGCTTTTAAAATATAAATCGCACCCCATCCCCCTCACAAAAGTTGAATAATTACAGCACATTATGCTAACAGCATATTACTCATTTCAGCGGCGTGCGGTCCGAACAGTGGGGGCCGCTAGTGGTAAGAGCTGACAACGGCAATAAGAGACAGACAGCTACTGTATAAGAGCGGCTCAGACCAACTTCACGAGAAGGGGACACGGTTTGTCGATCGGGGTCACGTTTTATCACTGTCGCCCCACCCCCTCACGTCCCTGGTCATTAGGTCGCATTTGCTTTACATTCACATTAATTAATTTTCAAAATAGATTTACAGATAACAAAATAAGTAGACCAAAATGTCTTAATTAAATTAGTTGGCAACGTTGACATGTCTGCTGACAGCAGAAGAATCACTGGGCTGCCGGATGCCAGAAACGCTCCTGGCTAACAGGCATAATCTGCAGCGAATGATTTCCATGCAAACATTTAGGACTTACCAAGGAAATATTTCCAAATGTCCCATAGTTGTTAGTTCATCGTCTAATGCTGTATAAATCTTTCTGTAAAGTTATTTAGCCGTTTTAAGCCTAACGAAAAGCCCACTTCCCACTCACCTTTCCATTATTTTTCCAGCTAGGAAATCAATCAAACAACCACGCCAAGAGTCCTCCCGCGATCAAGGATATCAACGGTAGGCCTACGTTTAACTTTTCTTAAAAAAACTCTTAATAACAGGTACAATGCATTAAGCATGACTGGAATTTACTCGTGGCATATATTGACAAATGCAAGCCATTTCTTTTAGAAAATATGTCTTCTGACGAGGTTATATATCTAGTACCAGTAAACCGCAACTCTGAATATTTATATAGGAATTTTATTTAGTTATAATGAAGCGCCTTCAGCGTCCAACGCGCCTCGAGCTAAAGCTGACAGATGCAAATACGATGTGCAGCTTTGAAAGGACTTAGGTAAGGCACGTGCAAATATGTTGGCACTTTCCTTCACATATTATCAACAGATTAATCTATTAATTCCTCTAATCTGAAATCGGGCTGGTGAAAGTGAAACACGCGGAACCCTCCGACTTTTATTGTCAGTGCCAGGCAATTTTTATCTACGGTAACTGTATTAGATAATAAATAGTAAATAGGCTATATCTTCAAATAGTAAAGACATCTATTGTCACTATCTCAAACACATTTTAATACTGAAAGAGTATTAATTCTTACAAACTGAAACAGGTAAAGTGCCTTACTTCGTAAATGCGTGTATTTTCCTCTTTAAATACGCCGAAAGAAATCTGTTCATCTATCTTCAGGGTACAGACAGAGGAAAAAAGTCAGCATGACAACTATCACTGTTATTAATTTCAAACCATTTTTTCAAAGCAATATTTTCAAAGCAATGCCATGCTGCTTGCCACATGACTAATATAGGTATTTTTCTTCTGTTGCGACTTATTTTCCATAAATGTCACGCAATTCATAGATTCCAGGGAGCATAGAACAGCCTTATTTATTATTTGTGCCTGTACTTTACATGGGATCTTGCTGTTCATTGAAGATATATTAGAAATGTACACATACTCCGATATATAAATAACTTTTACATTTGGTAAGAACTTAGGTATTTCACAATGGTGAGGGTCATGTTGGGAAATCCTGTTGAGGTTTGTCTCTAGATGTTGTCATGTAAGAAATGAAGGAGACCCACTTAATCTTTGTCAATCGTTATAGCACTGTATTTGTTACATTGCAAAGTTGGACACAGTGCCCATTATAACCAGCAGAGCTTTCCCAGGCTGCCAGAGAAGGTTCAGAGAGAATGTGACACCAGCTATAAGCCAGTCATTGTGTTGGCTGACTGTTGTAGTACATTCATTTAGACAACGGACTTGTATTCAGTTTCTGGTGCCTTTATTTTGTTGTTTTCTTCCCTAGCTTACAATACTCATTAGTACATTTGTCTAAACAACTTCAGCTTCAAGTAAGTCTGTTCCAGGAAGCAGAGGACCAGCCTGGATGGGACAGCCGTCCACTGCAGGCCAGACACAACACACATAGTATAGAGATACCATTTCACCGCCTACATTTTTTTCAAGAGATGAAACTGAAATACCCACTGGAATTCCATACAGCTTCAAGAGAACATTCAACATTCACACACACAAACAGTGGTATGTACAGAGCCACTGTGTCACCACTCAGAGGGCCCATGTTTTCACTGGAAAGATGGGGGATTCGCTGAATGTGTCCTTTTCTGACTTAAATGAATCACTCAAAACTGTAAACATGGGGAAAGTTACCTGACTGTAACCCCCAGGCTCTGAGGGACGGCTCTTCTGAGGCAGCACTTTTCCAGACTTCAGTATGGTGCCCTAGAGAACGAGAGTGACACACAAAGCTCCCACAGCTCTGGCTACATGACACATTTCTTTTGTTTGTTTTCTCTCTTGTTACGTCCCCAGTTCTTTCTGTTTTTCGATTTTCGGTTTTTGTTGTGTAGGGGAGACCAAGGACAGATGTTGAACAGGGTCAGCTGTTTGAAGGGACACGGTGATCTCGCTGCGTTATTTTGATTACCTCAAACACCGCTGATGTTTAACGCACTAGTGCAACTTTACTTTGAAAGGAAAAGATGTTGTTTTCTGTTGTGACATTTTTCCACATTTTATGAAAATGAAGTTGAAAAAAATTCAACATTTATCCCTGGCCTTCCCTGCTTCCTGTACATTCAGGGACAATGGTCACAGGATGATTTCACTGGATCAGTCTCAAGATTCAAGTCAGGAGGAAGCTGAAGGGGTGGAAATTGAAGGAGAATAGGAGTGGCGAGGGATGAATGTGGGGCGGGCCACATTCTCCCGGATTATGTAGCTATCTTGTGACTAAACTACACGTCATATTTTTGTATCAGCATTTCCCGGTATTGCAGAGGTTTGTCTGCGTTACTTTGTTCTCTGCGTCAATCTGGTGCTGTGGGTTTGACTTTCAGTTTGAGTTTGAAGTTCCAGGAAAGACAGAGTTCTATAAATAAACTAAAGGATGACTGACATGAAGCCCTTTGCAACGTAAACAAAACTGTAGCTGTTAAATAAATGATGCTGTTATACCGGTGTAAAGGTGTCCGTGGGTTCAAACTGCCTTTCCAGGCTCATCAGAGCACATTGGGTTCTACATAGTTAATTTTCGCAGTTTACTTTCTTTCCGATTTAATTGCCTGGCTTGGGGCGCTGTCTCAGCTCCCTCAGACCTGAGTATTGCAGCGTTACATAATTCGGATGACAAAAAAACAGAAGCGGCTGAAAATGGCACTCATTTTGTTTCATTCTGCTTTTTCTCTTGCAGAGACCTCATTAAGCAGCTTGTTTCAAACGTTGTCATCCAAAGCTTGCGTGTTCCTTGCTGGTAAGAGGAAACCCATTTGGAAATAGGACTTTCTGACTCTGCTAACCTTCTATGTTATTTTCTGTTTTGCTTTGTGGTATTTTACCTGCAATCAGACAAACATGAAAACAACATTTTATTTTAATGTTGCTGAACTGAAAAATGCCCTGGGTTTTTTTTTTTGTTCCCCCTAAGATTTTCCTCTGCAGTTTTTGGTCCTTCACATCTTTCCCTGGAAGCCTTGGAATTATCTGTAAATGTAAAGTAATCATAGGTCAACCATCACATGTTATGAAAGACTTTGTATGGGTTGAAACATACTACTGATGAACAACGGCACCATTAACTAGGGTTGGTGTCCGGCTCAGTGGTTTATGGTGCAGTGTCTGAGTGAAAAGTCAGTGGTTTAAATTCCGGGGTAGGTAAAGTTATTTCATTGTTAGCCCCTCGAAGAAGGCCTTTTGCCCCGGACACTTTGACCTTGCTTTCTGAAGAACAAATGTTGCTCTGGATAAAAGTGTCTACTAAATAGATAAAATGTCAATGATTTGCTTCCAACTAGTTCCATGCTTTTATATTTGTGATTCGTTGCCCTGTTGTAGCACTTGCCACCGGGGAGAGTGGAAGTGGAGTGCTACAGTGGGAGAAGAGGCACCACTATATGAGAAACGTCTCCTTGAGTCAGAACGGCACGGACGTCATCGCCGAGACAGCCGGCTTCTACCTGCTGTTTGTGCAGGTGACCTACAAAATCAACTGCCACAGAGCCACAAACTGTCTTGACCTCATGCTGACTGTCAACCATTTTTACAAAGAGGGTGAACAGTGCTACTCTGCGGTCTACAAGACACACTGTGGGACTTGTGAGGGCTGTCACCAGAAAGGTCACCCGGAGAGGAGCGTAGACGTAGTCCTCAGTAAGCCTACCTTGCTCTGGATGCAGTCACAGGACAAACTGACAGTCACAGTCAGCGACAGAGAGTCTGTGGATTTTGAGTACCGCCCAACCCCGACATTCCTCATGCTCGTTAAGTACTCAGATTAGCCAATCCTGTGCCGGAAAAGGAGATGGGAATGAAATTTCTGTTTGAAGTTTCATTGTCATATTTTGCATCTCATCCAATGAAAACCAGTTTTTTTTGCAAGGAGAACATGAACAAACATTAACACACAACATACAGTAACAAACACCCCCCAGAATGCCTAACACCCCCTCACGCACCCATAGGGTACCAACAAACCGTCAGCATACAACATAACAGGGATGGTCTTGGCAATTAATTGTAATTTCGACTGAGACAACTGCGGGGGGGGGGGGGGGGGCAGTCAGGCATTCTGGGGGGTGTTTGTTATGTTGTGTGCAGTGTGCCCCCCCCAAGCTCCACCCATGAGGCTGTGGTGCCAGGTACCCAGGAAATTAAGCTTGTGAGTAATTAGATTAACAGCAAGAATAAAAAATTGGACACTGGCCCACTAGCTAATAAAAAAGTCCCAACTTGCTCTCCTAGACAGACATGTAGGGGAAGACGAGCTTGGTGGCAAAGTCAGCCACCCATAGCAGTGCCCATGAAGCTGGGGGTTAAAGGCCTTGCTCGAGGGCCCACAGACGTGACAATTCTGCCGAGACTGGGTTCAAACTGGCGACCTTCCAGTCAGAGGCACAGAGGCTTAGTAGCAGAAATTCTTAAATTCAACCCCTGGATGTCCCACTCTTCCCTTAATCCTTTAATCCCTTAATATGTTAAATGTTCTTGGATCCTTCAGCAGGGAGCACTATGTTAATCAGAGTAACTTACTGTGGGCTTTGAAGTGAGCTCCTTGCACAAGGATCGCAGACAATACTTAGGTAGCCTTATTCAGTATTCCCACATCATCTAGAACTTCTGAGAAAACCTCAATTATGGATTTTTTCAGGAAGGTTAACTTGCAACCATTTAAGCCCTGCACAAAAGCTGCCCCTGACACATGCATGTCAAACAGCTTAAACAGGAGTCCAGTCCATCTGTAGCACTGCTGGTGGACCTGTGGTTAGGGTTAGGGATAGGGTTAGGGTTAGGGTTAGGGATAGGCGTCCCAGCCCCCCTTCTGAAAACCCGCTGACATGCACATAGAATTCTGTCCTGTGTATCACACTGGTCTGGTCACTTCTGGCAGCATGAATCAGCTTTCAGCCAACATTCATAGGCTGTCATCTGAGAGTTTGTGCATTTCTGCTGCTGCCACTTCAAAATGAATTTGGTTGCCGTATCATTGGAAAGGCCCGGGTGTGTTTGAGCCACGAATGTAAGCAGAGTTCCATGACTGCCGGAGCACTGTGGTTGAGGAGCAGACACATTGCCGAGGTCAGCGTCACTGCTTGTTTTTCCACACAAGCTTGACGAAATTCATGGATATGGAATCACAATGAATGACGATAATTTAAAAATGAAAAGCTGACACTGAACAACCTTTGTTAAACAATTCAAAGCTTGATACCAGAGAAGTTCAGTTCAATTTAATTTATTTTAATTTAAGAGTTTATGGCAATATATTATTAGTTTATGGATGCTTTACAATTGTGCGTGATACAGAGAAAAGGTAAAAAGGCAAAGACAATGGAGGAGAGGAACCAAAAACTCTATATTAAGATGAAAAAATACCTCTGGGGGCCCAAGGATAACAAAGAAAATGATTTTGCTTTTATAAACGTAACGTGTAGAGACCATAGTCAATATCGAAGCTCATCAGGTCATACAGGTCTGCATTAGTTGCTGCACTTTCAGAAAAAAGGGTACCAATTTGTACCTTTGCTTGTCACTTGAGCTGTACTCTCAAGGATCTGCTAATTGTACCCGATAGCTGTAGGTAAATGTACCTACAGACCATGAGGCCACGTACAGCAACTACAGCAGCCATAAGTCTGACCTGTAGGGTGATATGAATCAGCACTGTACCTGCAGACAAACCTTAGCCCATTTCCTAACCTGTAGCACTTAATAATGGTGAAACGTTGCTGTGACATGTATCTTAACAAAGTACTGGCTGTGTATTTTTCATTTCTAATTTAAAAATGTTCCCCATTTTGCTTATTGGTTTTTATTGCTTGTTTGTGAAGAGTGTTTACATAAATACAATAAATACTGTCAACATTTAAAGTGTCCAACGCCTGCTTTTCAAGTGTGTCTGCTCTCAATTAGAAAGTGTTTTAATGGAAACAATAGCCAATTTAAGACTTTTATCGTCCTTATAGAAGGATTGCTGTATTTTTCTTTGTTTTAAACATTAGCTGATTAAACGTGTGGTAATTAGTTTAATAAAACATCCAATAATACATCAACAAAGTTTTCTGTTTCGACAAAGCAAAAACAGACAGTATAGCAAAAGTCATGGCATAGTTTGGAGTATTTATAAAATATTTTTGTTTCTATTTTCCCCACTGCTAAAAATTTAGGAAGAATAATTCCATTCAACTGATCTTTATAAAGCACAATTTAGGGCATAGCTGCCTCAGAGTGCTTCAGTCATACACAACACTTTGTAAGACAGGAAACTCCACAAGTTAACTGGAGAGAGGAGCAAGAATTCATTAGGTTGAACTAGTTAGTGGCAAAAACTCTGGACACACTAGGCATCCATCAGGCTCTGTGCTGCTGCATCTGGTAGCCTGTTCATTAAAATCAGCTGGCCCTCTTCAAGTAAAAGCAAATAAGATGAAAATAAATTAATGTTACTATCCACAACATTTTTTTTTCTTTATTATTCTGAACATAAATCTTGATCTTCAGCACCAGACAAAAGTTTGGATACTCTAAGCTGCCTAAAAAAGGAGAGCAATAGTGTTGTATCACATGACCTGGCCACCTGACCTAAACACAGCAGAAATGGTTTTGGAGGAGTTTGACAGAAAGGTGAAGGAAAAGTGGCCAATGAGAGCTCAGCATATGTGTGGCACCTCCTTCAGGACAACTAGAAAAGTATCCCAGGATGTCCCTCATGAAACTGACGTAGAGGAGACAGTAGGGTCAACCAGCCCCTGGAACAGTTGGGGCTAAGGGTCTTACTCAAGGGCCCAATGGTGGGATCACTCTGCCAATCCAGGGATTTCAACCTTCTGAGTCAACCTGCAGAGCTGCCGCACCCAAAAAATTCATTTTTTTCTTTAATAGTTTTTCGGTTGTAGCATATTTCCATATGTTATTTTTATAGTTTGATATCTTTATAATTATTCTTAAATGTAAAGAATAGTAAAAATAAACCTTTCTATGGGCAGGTGTGTCCAAATATTTGACTGGTATCGTAAGCGAAGCAACCAAATCCATTAAGGAGGAGAAACAGAGAGTACAATGTTACCTGGGCTGGAGAAAGTCCCACGATGCCACAGGAATGATGGGCATCTCTGAGGAATGAAGGTGAAGGTGAAATATGTGTCTCTGAATGCACGGGCGTAATTTCCAGGGGGGTTAGGGGGGTCATGACCCCCTCAATAATCAGATCCAGCCAATATAACCCCCCCAATAATCATGTTTCCCCTGTAATGGGTGGAGACCTCGACCCCCCCAATGTTCCAGCCAAAGTTACGCCCTTGTCTGAATGTCCTTCAGCATGATTTCACGCCTGATGTGTGTGACTCGGCATCGCAGCTTCTGTTCCAGGGATGAGTCACATGTTTGTGGGCCCTCAGTCCCCAACCCCATGTGTGTCTTATGGAGAGCAGTCTGGGACTATTTATGGTAATACACTTACTGTACACTTATTTAACAGAGCTTCTATCCAAAGCAACATGCAACTGAGACAACAGAGTCAGACAGTCCCTGGAGCAGTGCAGTGAGTCACACACTGACATCAACATGCTCCCTTTGCAGAAAAATTGGACAAGGTCTAGCATTCCTGGAATTTTTGGCCATAGCCTCGTGTTTTATTGCATTACCACCCTTATTTGGCAGCAGTAGTGGAAAGGAAAAGGAGCCTAAACAAGCCTAGTATTCATGATTCAAGTAATCTTTACTGTCAGCCAATCAATATACATGTACACATCTGAGAGGAAGCATTTGTGTATTTACTAACCAGTTTATTATGAAGTACTAACATTTACACATTGATGAGTCCATATGTTTCATACACCACACCACTGCACAGTGACTGGACAAGAAGAATGAATGAATGTTACATTTATATAGCACTTTTTCACAACACCCAAAGCACTTTACAGAGGCAATGGGGAGACACTTCAACTACCACCACTGTGCAGCACCCACTAGGATAACCCGACGGCAGCCATTCTGCACCAGTACACTCACCACACAGCAGCTAAGGTGGTGAAGGGGCAGGAGAGAATTCACCAGTTAGATATAAGGAGTGATTAGGAGGCCAGATTTATTAGGGCCACGGTGGGCGAATTTAGCCAGGACATCAGGGTACCACACCTACTCTTTTGAAAGATGCCCTGGGATGTTTTATGATCTCAGAGATTCATGTTAGTATAAGGTTGCAGGTGTGTGTGTAGAAGAGGTCCTGTGATTGTAGTAATACCCCAAACCATTTATTTCATAACCATTTCACAGCTATTTTTAAACATCAGTGTTTCTTAAAGGGCTGTGGTTCTGTTTTTTATTGAACCACACCCGGTCTGGTGAGGATGGCTGAGAGTGTTACTGGGGTCTCTTTTAGAAATAATGAAACCTTAAAACTGTAAACGTGACACCTAGCCAGTGTAACAGAACCAGCGTAACAGGTTGCCAGTAAATGTAACAGGTATCCAGTGCAGTGGGGCCAGAAGAGAGGAGATATGATCCCTCTTCCCTGCCGCCTGTCAAAGGCCAAGCAGCGGCATTTCAACCAGGCAGGACGTGAGATCAGGAAGCCTGACAGGCCTGCATACGGTGGGAGGAGATGGTTACCCCTAACAACTGCACCTATTTGTTTAGCAAAAAACTGAAAAATCAAAGCTGATGCCAAGATTTTTAACATGAGAGTGTACATTTACAGAGAGGGACCCAAGGTGTATATATATACACACACACACATATATAAAAACTGTCAGTCAAAATTGTCCTTAAAATCATATTGTAAAGATGTGTGTCAATGTATAAAACACAAATGACAGTCATCTTATAAGTGTATTTATTTCAAAGCTGCCCTTATCTTCTATTTTCAAATCCACTATATTTGACAGGTCACAAGCTTTTGTTATCTAACCTATGGATACCCCTTTTATTTTATTATAAACTATTTAATACATTATCCTCCCCTCATTCAATAAACCCCTGCTCATCTTTTAACATACCAACATTTAATCCATAATTATAGTTTTATTTGGGGATGAAACATTTCTCATCTGGTGACTATGTGGCAAAATAATTTCCCTGGGACGACATGAATACGGAACCTGGGCACTAACTAGCACCATCTAAACTCGCGCATGTTAGTCCCTTAACAGAACTGGACCATGTACACCTGGGCAAATATAGGAACAGTAAAATAAATGTGGCCAAAATATTTAGTAACCTACGTTACAATTGATTCCTCATAAGCATTGGTATATACATTTAGTAGGCTAGTAGATTTTTGCATTTTAAAATGAACTGTTAATATGTAAAGCAGAATTTAGGTGTCTTTTTAAGATTATAAATCACATTAAGCACATTATTAAATATGTTTTGTACTTGCATGTTATGCGTTATATTTTTTCTTAATATTTTAGGGTAGGGTTAGGGTTAGTGCCATACACTCGGTGGTCATTTAGTTCAAGGGGACTTGGGAAACAGTTTATTCATTTATTTTTTCAACACCTCCCATGCTCCTTTCCTTAGTGGAAAACTACTCATCTTGGCGAACACAGAAACTCTTTATAAAATTTTGCATTCTTCACTGTACATAGTTCTTTAAGCAATAAAACAAAACATTTTCCGGTTGTGTTTGACTCAGTCGCAGGTCCCTCCGACTCACATGTCTATGTCACCTGACCTAGACAGGGGGGTATATAACAAATTAAACACAAGTGGAATCATAGAAATGCAGACTAATTGAATTTGACAGTTTTTCCTCCCAAAGCTTTAGGCTTCCCGCAATGAATGCGCAGTGCTTACGCCATATCTTTTCACACTTACACATTTTATAACTCTACTGCAGTCACACGCCTCCATATCAATTCTGTCATCAATGGAACGTGAAACATGCATTTAGCTGACACCTTCATTCATGAATAAATTGTAACTACTACAGAAACAAGACCTGAATCCCAGGCCCACTGTGTGTGTGAAGCTTGTGAGTTCTTCCTGTGTTCATGTGGGATTTTCATACTGGTTTCCTCCTGCTTCTGTGTGAATTGGAGAGTAATGTTTTGAGCACCTTTTGCAGAGTAATGTATTTTCTATTAATGGTTTTGAACTGAATTAACTGTAGGGGCACTGTAGGGGCACGGGCAGATGAAGAGGAACAACATTAATGACCGGACTGGAGATGATGATGAGACAAACAGGGACTTATATACAAAGACGAAGGAGGGGCAACAAGCCACAGGTATGGCTGATCAGGGCCACATGAAGGAGGGACAGGAGGGTTTCGGGAAATTTCATCACAGTGTATGACATATGTATCATATGGCTGAAGATCACAATAAACACTTAGCTCAAGGCACAACAAAGCCAGCAGAAGGAGGAACTGAAAGAGATGATCCAATGATTATACATGCCAGTCTGCAAACCCCAGACACACCCTCTGGGCTCCAGTGAACATCTCTGTCTCCTCTGGCCCTGGGGTTCTGGTTGCTCCTTTTGGCATAATACCCTCTGCTACCCATCAGGTATGATGGGATTTCTATTAAGTGCCAAGGTTTTCCTGCGCAGTGTTTGATGTACATTTAATACCTAATGCTAAGTCAACAGACCAGGTTCCCCAGAGTACCTACTGCCAAAGGATTTTTTTAGCAAGACCAAGGCATCTGCCCTTCTGCCATACTGGGTTCGAGCTGTCCTACGTGTCTCAGCTCCCTGGGACCTCTCCACCATGGGGTTGGGTTTATCTGTTGTCTATACAGAGTCAGAGGCCATTCATCAGTTATCAGGATCTACATAACAGTTAAGTTCTGTTACCTTCTTCCCCTATTCCCTGTGGCTTTGGTACAGGTTCGGATTATCATGAGCGTCGTTAGCCCCGA